ACAATTCTGCGACATAAATCCTCAAGAAAACTCTTGGTTTTAAATATAGCTAGAAATAAAAAAGCTCTAGGAGAAACTCTTAGACCAAAGAATTTCTATGGATTCACTCCACATAGGAGAAAGCTCGGAAAGAAAAGATAATAATTTAATAAGAACATGTCTTCTTTAAAAATTGATAGTCTACGCCAGAATATCAAACAAATCACTGACATTATAATATGAAAATAATAATAATTGATTTTCCTCATTTCTATAAAAAAGGTAAAACAGTCAAAATTAAAACTCTTGACGATAATACTGAAAAGAAAGAATACGTTTTCTCTACTTCAGGAAAAGCCGGTATTCAAACAATTGTAAATCATTGCAATAATCTCAACCAGATCATTGCAAGATGCCTCTTAAAAACTTCAAAAATAAGCCATTATCTTGGTATTTCAAAAGATATTTCTGAAGATATTTCAAAAAATAAAATACCTTTTAACCAATTTAAAAACGATTTAGCCTTTATGGTTAAAAACAATCTTGATAAAAAAGATTTGGAAAAATTCTTGGAAGTTATTGAAAGACAAAATAAATTAACTATCAAGTTAACCCAGTCTATTGACAAACATTCTATTCTTTTAGAAAACTCTTTAAAAAACAACCAATTTGTTGAAGAAGTCGCCAAAAAGGCAAATATTGAGGGCACTCTTAAGGAAATCAACCTTAAGATCACTAATATACATGATCAGTTAAAACAACTAATAGGATGACCTCGATACCCGAGCTGAATAGATCAACCACCTCGATACCCGAGCTCAATAGATCAATCAACCTCCTTAATGAAAAATAGATGGTCTGATTATAAACTTGGACTTAATAGTCAATAAATACGTAACCATTGCCCAGTTGGAAGTAGCATCTGCAAAAATTATTGCAGACATTATTAAGGAGTTATCTGAAAAGATTGACTCTTGCCCTTGTAATAAAGACATTCTTGAGCACATCAAAAATATCTCCATTATAGAACAAAATCCAAGCCAGGAAAATATTCAGGTCTTAAGAAATACTCACCTCCCAATCCTAGTGTTGGAAACCCTGACTTAGGAAGCTCAAAAAATTCCCAGAAAATTGACATTTTCAGGAAAGAGTAAAAATGAAAGAAACAATCTCTGAGAAACTCGAGAAATATTTCTTTAACCTTCAATTTGAAGATTATGATAAAGCTGACCAAAAACTTATTCGACTTTTATCATTAGAAACTGAAGAATGTGAAGAATTGTATCAAAAAGAACCCAAACTTTTTGATCAATATTTTAGAATGACTAAAATAAATGAACCTGACACTGAATCAGAAGAAGAAGATAACTTTAAAACAAATACAAAGACTGTTAAGTTCGAATATTCAGATATGGAAGATGATGAAGCAGAATCTTCTTATACAGCTACAAGAAGAGGCAATAAAAAGAAATATGAGTTCAAAATGCCTGTCCACAATGGTATTCCAAATAGTGGTCAAGGATCCAATACGATCAATGTACTCAATATTGATTGTATCCAAGATCTAAAACTCAGAGAAAGAGTTGTAGAAAATGGGTTACTGAGATTTCACTAATCTTACAGACAAACCCAGATGAATTTGAAAAAGCAAAAAATGTTCTACTACTTTTAGAACACAAAACTGATGGAATTGTGCAAAAATTCCTAAGAAACAATAATTGGAATGAAGAAATGCATGGTTCAGATCTTTTTGATAATATCATAAATGTCATATACACTACTTTCTTAGGTCTTGATTATATTTCTAATAAAGACTTCACCATTAATAAGAAAGTTGACATAGCAAGAGTTTCATGACAAAACTCCAATTACATGATATTAGTCTTCTCGACAAATACACATGTATGTATGAATCATATCTATATGATATTCCACAAAGAAGTGAATATGCGCAATGGATATGTGCTTACCTCATGAAGATTCCAATTATTGGAGAAACCTGTACAGACAGATGGAAAAAAGAAGTTACTGGAGAAATCCAGCAAACCAGTCTTTCTTATGCAACAAAAATTGCAAAAGAAGAAATTGATAGAATCTGTCAAGACAGATATAAACAACAAAAACTTAAAACAATAAGCAAAGATTGTTGTAGCATTCTCTCTGATTTCAAAAACTTTGATATTGGAAAGAAAAATTATAATAAGAAAAAGTATAAAAACAAAAAGAAATTCAAATCTTTTTGGAAAAAGAAAAGAAGAAAATTTTCACCAGGAAAATACTTCAAAAAACCTTCAAGAGAAACACCTAAGAAGACTACTTCCTGTCCGCAAGGAAAGAAAAAATGTAGGTGTTGGATCTGCAATGAAGAAGGACACTACGCCAATGAATGTCCAAATAGAAAAAAATACCCTGACAAAGTCAAGGTTTTACAAACCGCTAACAATGGGGGCTATGAAGCTCTTGAAGAAGAGTATGATGGTACACAACATGTTTTTATATATCATGTTGAGACAGAATCTTCATCAGACACTGATGAATACGAATCAACAACGGATGACTCAGACTAGTCCCATACAGACCCCACTTTTCAGGGAGGAGGAGATTAACCATTTTTGCGCAAACCTCCAGAAGATTGATGATTCCCTTATCATGAATCTTACTAATCCAAACTCTATTTATGTTTCTGCCTTCCTTAACTTTAAAGGATATAAAAAATTTAGAGTACATTGTTTTGTAGACACAGGTGCATCTTTATGTCTTGCAAGCAAATTCATCATTCCGGATGAACTTTGGGAAAACGCTCCCAAAGAAATTAGTGCCACTATTGCAAATGGTGAAACCATAAAAATTAATAAAGTTTGTAGAAACATTAATCTCGAACTCTCAGGAGAACATTTCAACGTTCCCACTATTTACCAACAAAATTCAGGAATTGATATCATAATTGGTAGCAACTTCTGTCAAGTTTATGGACCATTCATATAATGGATAGATAGAATCGCCTTTCATCTTAATAATGATATGGTAATTATAAAAAAGGTTACAGAGGCCTATAGCAAAGGAAAACCAGGTTTTCTTGAAACTCAAGAAAAAGGTTCTAAAGAAAAACAAATTCCAGGTACTAATATAACCCATGAAGGGATTAATAAAGAAAAGATTATTTCTATTCAAACTACCAGGTTCGAGCAGATTGAGGATCTTCTTGAAAAAGTTTGTTCTGAAAATCCTATTGATCCAAATAAAACCAAAGGATGGATGAAAGCTTCAATTAAGCTTATTAATCCCAAGACGATTATTAGAGAAAAACCTATGGTTTACTCTTTACAAGATAGAGAAGAATTTTCCAAACAAATCAAGGAATTACTTGATATGAGACTAATTATAGAATCAAAATCCCCTCATATGTCTCCTGCCTTTCTTGTCAATAAAGAAGCAGAGAAAGAAGAGGAAAGAAGCGCATGGTTGTCAACTACAAAGCAATCAATGATGCAACTATTGGAGACTCGCATAATATTCCCAATATGCACGAACTCTTGACTCTTCTACGAGGAAAAAACATTTAATCAAGTTTCGACTGCAAGTCAGGTTTCTGGCAAGTTCTACTTGATGAAGAATCGCAGCTTCTCACTGCCTTCACATGTCCTGATGGACTCTTTCAATGGAAAGTACTACCCTTTGGGCTTAAACAAGCTCCTAGTATTTTTCAAAGACACATGCAGAACGCTCTTCGAGGCCTTGAAGGTTTCTGCACTGTATACGTTGATGACATCATGATCTTCAGCAAAAATGAACAAGAACACTATGTTCATGTCACACAGGTTCTCAGAACTATTTTAAAATATGGAATAATACTTTCAAAAAAGAAAGCTCATCTTTTCAAAACAAAAATCAATTTTTTGGGTTTAGAAATAAATGAGGGTACTCATTGTCCTCAAAAGCATATTCTTGAACATTTACATGACTTTCCAAATGTTTTAGAAGACAAAAAGCAACTACAAAGATTTCTTGGTGTTTTGACTTATGCTGAAACATATATTGAAAAACTTGCAGCCATGAGAAAACCTTTACAGGCAAAATTAAAAAAAGATGTCATTTGGAATTGGTCAAGTGCTGATACAGACTACATCAAAAAGATAAAGAAAGTTTTAATCAATTTTCCAAAACTTTATCTTCCAAACATTGAAGACAGTTTAATTATTGAAACTGATGCTTCTGATGAATTTTGGGGAGGTGTTTTAAAAGCTAAAAACCCCAAAAGCGAAGAACAAATTTGCAGGTACACCTCTGGCAGTTTCAAAGCAGCTGAGAAAAACTATCATAGCAATGAAAAAGAATTACTCGCTGTAAAAAGAGTTATTACAAAATTCTCTGTATATTTAACACCAGTAAATTTCCTGGTTCGTACAGATAATAAAAATTTTACTTATTTCCTCCGAACGAAGATTGCAGGAGATAACAAATTAGGCCGGCTAATACGATGGCAAGAGTGGTTCTCACGATATACATTCACTGTTGAATATCTCGCAGGAAACAAAAACGTACTGGCAGACTGCCTCACTCGTGACTTCAGGTATGCCTTACATCATCCGTGATCTCACTCGCTCCTCTCGAGCCCTATAAAAGGATATGATCCTCATGACATATTTCCTCACAAAAACTTCACCTACAAAAAAGAGAGGGGGAGATTAGAGAGAAAAGTAAACAAAAATTGAGTTTACAAAAATGGAAGACCTCTTGTATTTTGGGATTTTGGATTTAAGGATTTGGAGTTGGACCTTGGCCCAACTTAAGGAAATGATAGAATGGACTATTACTCTATGTTGGGTTTAGTCAAGTTTGATATTCCAATTGTTGGTCAATGTATGTTTTATTGTGATGGTTCGGGATTTTGGTGAGTCAACAACCGAGGGTTTTCAGTTCAGTTCGACATTGTGAGGTGAGTTTTGCTCACTATACTGATAGGGTCTACAGAACCAAGGCCAGACCTTTGGATTATTATCATGGTTATAGTATGCTTGTATGTTGTTATGATATATTAGATCAGTATCCTGGTAGATAGAATGTTGTTATGCTATTATGATATGTTAGATCGGTATCCTGGTAGATAGGATGATGTTATGATTAGTGATCTGTATGATCTGTGCATGTTTGTTGATTATCTATGTGTTATGAGTATGTCGACATATATGTGTATGGTTGGGTTGAGGCGGTCCTGCTTTGTGCTAAAGGCCAACAGACCCAGGGCTTCCTGGATAGACTGAAGGCCCTACGTGGCGGACTAGTCAGGCCGAATGCCCATTGAGCAGTTCGGCAGGCTGTAGTCCCTGCAAGGTGATCCAGACATGTCGAAGGCTCAGGAGCGGTCCAGATAGGATGTAGGCCCTATAAGGCGGTCCAGTCAGGCTGATGGCTCAGTATGCATATTGCTTGTTATGATATTGTTCTGGTTTGTATGACGTTGCTATTTTGTGGGTAACTCACTAAGCCTTCGAGCTTACATTTATCGATTATTGTTTCAGGTACTTCGGATGATTGTGGGAAAGCGAAGGCTTAACCGTACACTTCCTCACATGTTATGTCTTTGTTTTCTAGGATACTCTGATTTGAACTATTTTGGAAACATTCGTAATAAATAATGGTTTTTGAATATCTTAAAAAGTTTTAAATTTTTGTGAATTTTTATGGATGTTACACAAGACCCTACTAGTCGAGCTAAGCATACATAAATCTTATAGTATTACATAGACATCCAACATACAGAAGACCCAATAATGACATAAGTAATATATTAAGAAGACTCGCCTAAAGCTAATAGCAGTAGTCACATAGTCTCATAAAGATAAACAACTAACACAAACTACCTAGAAACCAAACAGAGGTCCAAACTCAACCTATAGCTAAAATCCCATCAATTTTGACCAAAAGTCAAATTCGGTCAAAAAATCAACGGTCTTGTTCATAGGCACCCAACACCCCCTGACACCTCACATCTACTAAAAGACAATCTAGTCGATTCTGAGAAAAATCACAAAGAAGCTCCACACCCAGAAGAGGCGTACCACACCCTAAGCCCAAATCACTTGATATATCACTTAATCCATTAAGTTAAAAGTCCAAAATCTCAGGTTCGAATCTCCTTAGTGTCTTAATGGGTCTAGTTTTCAACTTTATCCATTAAAATGGCCCAAACAAGCAAGATCTAAAACCATATGTCTCTAAAGTGACTAAATGGACCATAACTCTTGTATGACTTAATGATAATGCATGAAATCCCATTTTTCCATTACCAAAATATCCAGAGACCATTCCAAAGGTGCTCAAATGGTTATAATGTTCTCTAAACTCCAAACAAGGAAAAGGGATGAAAAGTGCCAAAAACCACACATACCAAGATCTAATGAACTAACGAGCAAGATATGAACTTTTTACTCACAAAGGTTCATAAATGGAGTGAGTTTCTTGGATCAACATGTGAAACCAATCTCGTTGCAACAAAAGAAAATTTCTTGACCTTCAAGCTTCACCAAAATGGAAGAAATAAGATCTCAAATCACCAAAATGCTAAAAAAAACAAGAGAGAGGATGCTAGGGTTTCACAAGGATCATTTGAGGAGT